ATATTTTCATTGTAAAATGACGTCACATAGTCTTAAGGCGCATACATATGACGGGTAGTGCCACTTGTCACCAGTATAAACCTAAGTAAGTCGCTGCTTAGCGGCAAATGTCGAAACAGTCAAATCTGGGCCAAAACTACCACCGAGAAACTCGTCCTGGAGACGCCTCTGCGCAAGCTAGATACTCAAAAATTTGACACAGTGTGCCCAATGAATAGCAAGGAAAAGTCACCAAATTTCGAGCCCCTAGCTTAAGTCGTTTTCTGTCGAGAGCAATAAAAAACTACAGGTGGGGGCCGATTGCCCCCCCCCCCACCAGTAACTAGTAGGGTTAACTCATGATTTATTATAATAATGCTTATTATACAGACAACGATCAATTTCAAAATATCTATTTGCACAGGAACTAAATGCACACTAAAACACATAAAAACGAGTGTTCATCGTTATATGACTTTATTTTTCAAATTAAAAGGGGATTTTTAAGAGGATTTTAGCACCAGTAACCGTCTTAGATTTTCGGCAGACACTGCATTATAGAATCGGTATGGGTCTTCAGCCTATTCTCACGTCTCACGTATGACACAAATAACGGACACTTCATGGCTTCTGATAAGATATTTAAATTAATGATGATATACCTTAGTTTTTCAAAAAATTGTAAAGGCTTGCTCACTATTCGTATTTCCTCACTTTCTGTCTGGCACAGTTACGGATCAATTTGTTGTTTCTCTTCCTGCATCTCGATCTGACTTCTGAACAGAGTATTTTTCTTGATATAGCTTTGATATGTAGATTGGGTTCTTCAATCTTTTAAGGAAATGTTTCCGCATTTATTTTTGACGCTCTTTCGATCGCCGCTTACTACGTGTCGCTACGTGGCCCAGGAGCCGCGTTATGAAAACGCCCCCCTCCCCCAGCACGACAAGGAAAATACAGGCCACCCGCACGGCGCGGGTTCACTAATAGGTAATGGAGAGGTCGCAAAATTGACCTGGGCCTCAATGTAGATATTTGGTCTGGGGATTACGCAAGGCGAATGTTCGCTGAGATCGGCAGGTTTCTATGGCGCTTATTCAAAGTCGATCATGCACACTCACATCATGAAAGGTCGTCTCCTATACTACGTCGGCCGAAGACATCCTTTACCTTTACCTTCGTGCCACTATATGGGAAAGTCTCACGAGTCACGCCTCGCCCATCTGGCACTCATGCAGTCATCCATGTCCACAAGTAGGGGTTGCGCGTACTAGACATCGAATTGTAAAGGTGATTTGTGGAGAAAAAAAATCAAGAACGTATGTCAGCGTTCGGTCGCCTCTGACTGCAGTCGCTGCTGGTATGACAATGAGTTGGGATCTCATGGTGGATCTCATGGTCTTAAATGTTCAAATCGTTCCTTGATTCCAATTAAGGCAATAAGTCGCAGCGTGAATCCTACATACGTGCGATCTGAGATTTTAACACAGCCACCGCGGTCGACCACAGGCTGCAGCCCACAGGTCACTTTGGATCAGTGAGTGAACCTGTATATCTTTTGTTTGCAAAGAATAAAGATTGTGCCTATGGACCAACGTATATTTTACCGTTTCGAATTCGCATGGATGCGTATTTTGAGAATAAAATATATGTAGCCTGAGATCGTTTCCTATATCATGCTAAATATTCATCAAGATCAAGGTTTTGGCGCCCCCTCTCAAGGGAAAAAGTCGCCCCATCGAGCACCATGACCCCCCTTTCGCTGATTTCTGGCTACGCCACTGATGGCATATATTATATTTATGATAATGCATGCCATCGGACGTGATTCTCCGCCGTTGATTAGGCAGTGGTGGGCACTCGTAACTTGACGGGGACTTCGATAACGATAATTTGATAACCTCTTTCGAGGTCAGCGACTTCGATAACGATAACTCTATAACCAAATCGTTAACTTCGATAACGCGATAACGATAACGATAACTTTTCAAAAAAGGAATTGAAAGGATAAAATATTTGAAAGGAATAAGCTTCTAATTACTTTTTAACCCATTCGCTCATACAACACCATTATTACCCAGCTGAGGCCTCTTGCACCAAACTACCTACCTAGGTAAATTCAGATTTTACCTAGATTCTCTTGCACCAAACTACCTACCAAAAAACGCTACCGTGAAAATTTACCTAGAAATTCTACCGAGCGGCATAAGAACTTACCAATTGTTAAAGTCCGACCGGCTGTTTTCCTCTTGCACCGAATGCCGGAAAGAAGTACTCGCGGAGGAATTTTTGACGGTTTGACGGTAAACGCGAGCTTCCAAAATAACTAGCAAAATCTTAGGTAAAATGATTCAATTAGTAACAATAGGCACAATACATGATAATCCACGGGTACTTTTATGTAAATTAGGCACTACGAAATGTTTAGACAATGATAAATCAATGTTTTATGAGTGAAAAATAATATAATTGACCAAATGCTCCATGGGTTCACAGAGGTGCTTCTCCGTAACAAGGCGATAAACCTCCGTAGCAGAACAGCCAGGTTGAAGACTCACTCGTTGCCATGGAAACGAAGCTTATTTGTTCAAGTAATTTAATATCAAAATAACTTCTATCGGTATTTACGTAAATGAAAAATGATTTCATAAAACCAAAATGTATATTAATAAAAACAATATCCGTTTAATTGTTTTCTTTAGTTACTATTTTTTTGCGCCCACAAATAATTCGTCGCCAAACAGCCAATCAAAACAAATCCTAAAAACGCGAGCTGTCAAATTTACCTAGGTAGGTAGGTAGGATGGTGCAAGAGAAGTTACCGCCGTAGGTTTTACTAGGTAGGTATTTTGCCGATTTTACCTAGCTAGGTATTTTGGTGCAAGAGGCCTCTGCTCACACAAAAAGGAGGGCTTAGAACAGTGAAAATGTTATTTTTCTCGTACAAACACACAAACAAACGTGCAAACAAAAACTTGAATATCTTTGGCGACAGAGCTTGCTGATCGATCTATCGATTGAAAGAAAAGGGGACATCGATAACGCTACTTCGATAGCGATAATCAATAACGATAAACTTGAGGAAAAACGTAATCGTCGATAACGACTTCAATAATCGTTATCCATGGGAGTTATCGAAATGCCCACCACTGAAATAGGTATAGGCGTCGAAAGCGGGGGACGAGGGACGTGTTCCTCCCACAGTCGAGGAATCTGGGGGGGGGGGGAGGGACGTTGTCATGTTCTTCCCTAGGGCCTTGGAGAACGGGTATGCCTCCTAAAACCCGCAGCACGGCAAAGTGATTTGTGGTATTATTCCTTTTCTTTTGACTGAACGTTTCTTGGCCACTGGCATATCCAAAAAGGCGGTCCTGGACGCTGCGAAGGGGATACCCATAAACAAGTTTCTCCAATTTCCAAAAACACGCCGGATTTCGATTCCTTACGCACTGCTGAGTGCTGAACAGTTTAAAACAAACTCAAACTTCTAGGATATAAGCTATACGGTTGAAATCACAAAAAAGTAATAACACCCATCATGCGTGTTTTTCTTGTGCAAAAATGACAATATTAATGGGTGTCACACGACTCTCATAACGGTATTGTGAGTGTCATAGATAGCCTCTTTGCTCAGAGCCGTGGGTGTTCTATGAGCTTTTCAACTCCATCCATATGTCCTTAAGTGTGTCGACTGTCGAGTGTAGGTCAACGCGTCACACGCGCAATAGTGAGTTAAGAAAGCATCTTAATGGGAGCAGTGGGCTCCGAAAAACCGAAGAGAGTAATTATTTTTTTCTGTGTAAAGGGCTCAATTTTTAATATGCAGGGCCACTTTACCTGGTGATCAGATCTTAGGTTTGAAACAAAATCAAACTTGTTACACGGGCTGCAAAATTTATGTGTTTGAGAGCTGTTTTGCAAATTGATTTTGCCAATTTTCGCGGCGCTTCGCGCCGCCTATTCATACTCGAGTCAAAAAGATATCGTGAGTTGTGACTGATAAAGCACCCTCACACGCAGGTATGAATGCATTACCTGTTAGACTGGTGGCACACGTAAACAAGTATGTATACCTCGTAGAGGACAAAAGGCTTGTGCCGTTTACGGTGTCAAATTGAATCGGACGTCAAACTGTACTGTGTAGGAATTTGGTCCATAACCATTAGACAGATAGTGCATCGGCCTGAAAAAGTACGGTAACAATACCTTAGTTTAGGTTTTTAGTCGGCCGATCCGTCCCCCTGTCGAAAATCCGTGGCAACGCCCCTGAATTAATAGGTATACAAACATCCCAAATATGGGAAGTTTTGCTGCTGACTGCTGAGCCCCCCCCCCCCTGACAATATCATAAAGTTAAAGGGACCCTCCCACCTTAACATTAGTTTTGAGTTGAGATAGCCAAGTTTGCGGCCAGGCTCAGAAACCACCATTTATCCTGGTCGCAACCCCCGCAGCTTTATAGTGTTCAAGAAATTTCTTCCCTTTACTTGCAGGGTGGGACCAGCGTAGTCCCTATCTCTTAACACTAACGGACTCTGATGACGTCATCAAGCCCATTGACCGCGCGTTATAAAATAAAAGTCTTATATTTCAAAAACGGGTGAATATTTTTCGGTGAAATTTGGTAGATGTTCATTTTCGCTCTTTCTGATTCACGGTACATCACTTTTATGCCAATTCATTAACTTTTTTAAGGTGGGAGGGTCCCTTTAAACCCGTGCTGACGCCTCTACATTTTGCACCTTGCACGTGCATGAGGGGTCACCCACATGCATCGGGAGTAGTCCAATACTTGGTATAATGGATGAAGCTATCGTACAAAAATTATCACCAAGTGAATGTGTCCAGCGGCTGCGGAGCTATATAGGTTAGCGTGGCGATGGCAGCTGTTACAGCCAGTACCTAGTCCCAGCAGTTGTCCCAATCAGTTTCCCCAGCGGCTGTCCCAGTGGTGACCCACCGACCGCTGACCCAGCCCCCCCCCTCCCCTCCCCTCTCACACTCCCTGCGCCCCCTTCCAGAGTGGTGCTGAGGATGTCAAGCGGCACCGATGGTTCAAAAATATCAACTGGGAAGAGGTTTTCTACAGGAAACTGAAGGTCAGCTAAGTTTGTTGTACTTTTAGCCGCATAGTGTAGTTTGTTTCAATTATGAACTGTAAATAATAGAAGTGTTACTTTGCACACCGTAGGCACATTGCAGTTTGCACATTGTAGGAGGTTACATGAAAAGTAATTCATTTGCTACGCAAGTTTCTCTCATTCATCACACCGCAAAGCACCTGTTTAGTCCCAACGTATTCCGTTATGCTGATTGTTATTCATTCAGCCGTGTGTAAGTGACTGACTGTGCCGTGTTGTGTCATCAGCTCGATAGATGACATGCGGTCGGTTCGATGGGGCGGACCGTTGGCCATGGTTAGTGGTTAGTGGTTACCCATTGGACTCTGGCCAGCGCCGCTCGGATGGGACGCGCCTCCCCGGCCAGTGGCCAGTGGCGCTACACTGTGCAAAAAGCTTAGCACCTGTTGTGCTAAACAACTGCTATTAGGGTGTTAAACAGGTGCTAAACTATTCCGCGCACCGACAGGGGCAGTTATCCGACCCCCCCCCCCCCCCGAGGTTTTTCGTGAATAGCGGGAAGCGCCGCGAAATTTTGCATGACTTTTTCCTCATCAATTTTACACATGGTGTGCAAGTTTGCACTTCCTACCTTTCAAGGTCAGGTCACCAGGTCACTTCGAATGACCCAACCTCAAATCACTTTTTTGCAACTTTGATGCAGCTTGGATATACGTGTACATTCTTGGACGATACCGCGAAAACGAACCATTTCTATCGAGAGTTTTGAAAGGATTTCATGCACGAGGCCTTGGCCGAGTGCATGAAATTCTTCGAAAACTCGAGATAGAAATAGTTCGTTGCGGTAGAGTCCTAGATATTATTTCCTGTATGTTTCATAATATCGTTCGTTAGCTGCTTTAAAAGGCCGAAATTTGCAAAGATAAAATATTGTTACATCAACTACACCTCGGGTGCTGAAATACAGGCAGTGCTAATTACTTAACAGTACCGTAAAACCTACAAATTTCCTTTAAGCAGAAGCTCCGGATGAAATCAAGCTATACAAGAAAACCATCCAAGAAAACGTCTCGTGCAAAGTTTCTTGGATGGCTGGATTGTATTGCATCACTGCATCAAACATACAGGAATGTTTTTGCTGGGCCAAAGTTGTCATACTATAGTTCGTTTTTTTTTCAAAAGCACGCTGGCTCAAAGTTCATTATCGAAGCTCTCACGTGAGTTTTGGCAACTACCCGCGCCCCGCTGGGGGGGGGGGAGCAGAATCTGCCCCCTCCCGTTTTTCACCAATAACTTCTAAACGCGTTACGCCAGCGACGTCAAACTTTCAGTAACTTATCACCACATCAATTTGACACGTTCCCTGTAAATTTGAGCGAAATCCGTCGGAAGTTTTTTGAGAAAATGACGTTTTAGTGACGTCATGTTCGCAATTTTCGCCTCAAAAACGGCAAAATTTCAAACGCCGCTAACATCTTCATTTTTAAAAGAATCAAGACGTAACAAAAAAGGTTATATGTGATCAGACATGTGCTTGGATCCGGAAAAATGGATCTGAGATCCGATCCCATGGATCCCGATCCGAGATCCATTCAGATCATAGATCCAACCCCTCAATTTTGTCGAGAGATCTACTGGGATCATAGATCTGACCCTTCAATTTTGTCGCTAGATCCACTCGGATCATAGATCTGGCTCCCCAATTTTGTCGTGGGATCCAATGGGATCATAGCTCATAGGGTCTCAAAATGTTAACAACTTTCTTTCATAAGAAGTTATGAATACCAAAGTATGGTTAGGAACAAACAATCTTATACAAAGGCCATATAAGTAAAGGCATCCAGTTACATAATACAGAATACAAAATAGAGGAGGCTCATGACGGTCACAACTTGAGAGAATTGAGTGATATGAAGATTTTTCACATACCAACAGAAAAGCTTGCAATAACAATTAACACAGAGGTAAGTCAAAGTAATGACTAATGAACAATACATTACTAGGTACCTAGTTGACTACCTACCACATCACAATTCATGTTAGAATCTACATAATGATAAGACAATCTTGCATTAGACAACCATGAGGCTTTCCAGTTTCCACTCCAGCTTGAGCTATGAATTGATTCATAAACAATAAAAGATGATACTGACACATGTGGCTTGGTTAGGTAAAGGTATTTCAATCTATTGAAAGAAATATTTTATAAAATAAACTGAGATATAAACAAAAGTATAAAAATATTCAACAACCTGCTGCGATGGGAAGCGAAATATCAATTGTAATGGCCTTGGATATCTACCGTAAAATGATTATTTCAGTATCTTAATAGAACTCGTGACGTCATTTCAAATAACGAATGAGCTAAGCGTTCTAACTTCGAGCATAATGAAAATAAATAAAAAATCAAACTGGAAATTCAAAAGTCTGGAGTATTTTTTTCAAAAAAATGTTCATTTTTTCTCCTCACATAATTTTACGATACGATTGTTTGTGAATATCACCTTTGTAGCGTTGAATTTAATGACGTAAACGTGAGCTGAAACGGTATTACATGGCCATTAGTGCTATACGCGAGTGTGCGCCTTGCATCTTTATTCTATTCACTTTTCAAAAGAATCACAATATCTTACGTCATTAGTTTGAAGGGCCTATTACGGGGAATCTTTCGGAATCATTACGGTTTTAGTCAAATTAAGATTTTTCATTGGTCAAACGATAATGACGTAATAAAACAATATTACCAAAACGTGAGCTGTGAATTTCGTTTGTCTTTTTTTGGGAGGCTCTCTCATAAAGACAGCACAGCATGGCACCACACGTGGCACGATGCCAAAAGTAGGTAATCTCTGAAGAAGTTTATGCCATTTTTGAACTTGTAATTTTATTAGGGAAGTATTAGAGGTTGGTTGCTTTTCTTACTAAATTGAAATTGTGTTGCACATACTAATAGCTCATACGAACATTCTGGATTGGGTTTTCATACCTGTTAGAAGTGGATTGCTGGATTATTTTTAGCAAAACTGACCTATTTGGCTTCCAGGTTTGATTTCCTAGCATCTGTCCATAGGCGGCGGAACAGGGGGGGGGGGGTGGCACCAGGGTACAGTGCCCCCCATAGATTTTGGCATTTTAACATTAGCCGTACTGGCGTTGCATGGAAAGAATGGGACCAAAATGAAAATCTGCAGTGCCCCGCTGCCACTGCATCTGTCTGTACTGTTTGTTCATTGAATTAAAGTGGTTGTAGCTTGTTGATAAGATTGTCATCAGTGCTGTCATGAAAAAAGTTACAATTGGTCACAAAAAGTAGCAATGTGCATGTTCTTGGTTTATTTTAAATGTAGTACAAATGTTGTTGATTAAAATTCAAATTTAATGATGATACCTAATGATTACAACTGGTCTTAACCATGTCCACAAGTGACGATTCTCAATTGTATTGCACTGTAAGGTGTACAATTATGTAGGATAAGGGTTTCATTGGCTACATGTTGTCGTGAGATCCATACAGATCATAGGTTCTCCACAAATTTTTGCCCGCTGGATCCACAGAGATCATAGATCCGACCCCTAAATTTTGTCGAGAGATCCATTCGGATCATAGATCCAACCCCTGAATTTTGTCGAGAGATCCACTCGGATCATAGATCCAACCCCTCTATTTTGTCGAGAGATCCACTGAGATCATAGATCCAGCTCTCGGATCCATGCTCATGTCTGTATGTGATTCTACTTTGTCTATCAAATGGCAATCTCGGTTTTTTGAAAATTTTGGATTTTGAACGATTTTTTTTTCTAAAAAAACTAACTTTTTGGAAAATAATTATAAAATCCAAAATTTTGAGTGTATCGAAAAAACCGGCATATATGTCAGAGAACTGGTCTATGTGCACCTACATACCAATTTTTAGAAGAATCGGTTCAAAAATGTGGGAGTTATTCAAAATTTTATAACGTCACGACACACAAAATTTCCGAAAAATGATTTTTTTGGAAGTTCTAGACCTCGTACGGAAACAAAAATAGCACCATTCGATTCGTTGTGATAAACTGCATCAGATAGAAACCTTTTTAGGCCTTAACAACCAACTTCAAAATTTGACCTCACTTGACCTGACCTTGATCTGACCTCGACCTGAAATTCATCCTGATGTGGTCCATATCACTTATTGAGTGTGCCTATTGAATTCTATGAATAAAATGACCCATAAAACATGTGTCGCACATGCCCTTTTCTATATTTCGTTTTTGGTGACCTGGCCTGACCTTGAACTTGACCTTTGCTTGATATTGTATGCAACGAATATTGTCTTGGTAGCCTAAGAACACGTTTTGGGCAATCAGTCTCAGTCCATTCTTCGGCAACTACGGTGCAAGGCCGATACTGTAGAAACTTGCATTTTGTACCCTTGACCTGACCTTGACCTGACCTCTGACCTACTTAAGCAAAAAAATTTGGGCTCTTAAGATCTGCCTTGTTGAGAGCTTTCGATTGCCGTTTTCCCGTCTTTCTACGACCATCGGTTCGGAAGTTAGACAGGGGGCAGAATCTGCCCCCCCCCCCCCCCAACAGGGCGCGTATGGCTGAATAGCCCAGCGGGGCGCGGGTTAAAATCGAGTAAGCGGTTCCGTCCATGATAGCTTTACATTACATTGCAATACAAGTTCGACAGCATGACATCACCACTGTTCTCATATCTGGTTCCAAAACGCACGCATGGAAATTATCGGGAAGAAATCACATGTTAAAATTAGTCGATGTTCGATTTTCTCAGGTTCAGTTCTTATTCGAAAAACATACCTACTTTTTGTAGTCTTACATTTTGTATTTCAGCATTCACGATCGCATACACGCGCACACGCACGCACACCTAGACGCACTTGCACCCATACGAACGGGGGCGGTCGGGGGGGGGCGGTCGGGAGGGGGGGGCGGTCGGGGTCGTTCCACCGCGGCGCCGGTGCCACTCAGACCCTGTGCTCCCTGGCGCGGCGGTCACAGCGCCCCGCCGGCTCCCTCCGCGCTGACCACTTGGCTGCACAGGTCTTTGTGGAGGTAGAAGAAAATATAGCCGTTTCTCCGGGGTCCATTATCCAGAACGTCGGCCTCGTCGACACAGCTGACTCGGCGATCGTCATAGTGGAACCATCGGTCCCTGCCGACGCTGTATACGTCCGACACGTAGTGTCCGGAGTGCGTGGCGCCGCCGTCACAATGTTCCTAACCATCTGTGAAAAAATTGGATTGGGCCATTCATAACTTTCGCGGCAAACGCCGTTTTCATGCTTCAACATCACGCAACCGCGCGTGACCTTGAAAGACAGTCGTGTTGGTGTGTGAAAAAAATCCCTGTGTGGGGCGAAACTGCCGAGTGCCTGGCCCTTCCAATTCATTGTGAAGGCTACAAAGCATAGATGACATAAATTTCAGCTTGAATTATATCATCGAACCTGATTCCTTATCCCTTAAACATTGACGACAGAATGGTGCACTGAAGTCACAGTGAGTAAGTACGAACTTACGGAAAAGACTTGCATCATGACGATGAGCAGAACTAATGACTCTTCTACTCTCTGTGAGAGTCAAGACATGGTTGCTTGTGTACACTTTCTGAAATGAATGATTGCTGATCAGCGATATCCCAAACTCTGCGAGAATGGAAATGCATAGTCATCGTAGTCAAGCATTCACGTTCCATAGTAAACGTGTCTCAGGCAAACGGTATTTTGCGGTGAATTTTGAGCCGTGTGGAAATTCATCATGAAGTAAATTCAACGAAAACATTATCACGCAACGATATCTTCACGTCTTTTTATCTTCACTATACGAAAGAACATACATTTTTGAGTATGTATGGGGAATTTCTAGTTAATCCAATAATAAATATGGCAGTTAGAGGCCTGCTAAGAGTAACATGTCGCCGGCTGAGGCGGAATCGGCCGACGCGGGAAACGCAGCAATCACAATTTTGTGTTTATGCGTTCATATTTCAATTGTTTACGAACCGATTTTCAAAATTCTTTCACCATAAGATTGCCTGTACATTTCTTAGTCTTCTCTCAAAATTTGACGCGAATCGAACGTAATCAGCGGTAAGGAGCGCGATGTAAAGACGGAATCGTTCCGTTCCGTCCCGGCACAGTCTACAATTCAGGCGGCGCGTAGCGGTCGGCGCCGGCTGCCGAGTCGCCGCGTCGCCGCGGCGACAGGATGTTCACTTTACATCGCTATTACTAGAACAGTTGTGAACCGATTTTCTTATTGCTTGCACGATGAGATGTGCAATTCAATTCTGGACAGGTAGCCATAATTAATTTTGCATTAATATTATGAGATATTGGCGAAAACCAGGAGGGGTGGGGCGAAATTCGCTCTTCCCCCTCCACTGCGCGTGCTAACATACGTTTGCATATGTGCCATTTTCTTCAAAACTTATGAATGGCCCACTCTAATTTTTTCACAGGTTGTTAAGAGTATGGTAGACAATAAAATATATGAAAATGAGCCAAATCGAAGGTGGCGTGTTTTTTGCTATTTCAATTTTTGTGCTTAAGAACAGAGTTAAGCAAATTTCAAGGTCATATATTTAAGTAGGTGCAATTCTAATTAAATGCTTAAGAAATTACCTAAACAGTAAGGTTTATTTCATTCAAATCAAACAAGTACAACCAAAGTTATGGTCGTTCAAAAATATAAAGACGCAACATTTTGTAAAAATTTGATGCCCTATATTTAGAAGACCTGTGGTCAGAATGTGCAAAAAACATCAATGTAATGTCTGGGGCGACACAGGAACTCGCTCACAAATGTATAATGAAATCGCTGATGGTAAGGTGCAAAACAGCCGATTTTTGTTCGATTTGACGTGGAATGCCCCAGTTGTTTAGCACAAAAAGTGCTAATCTTTTTTACAGTGCTTACGTTAGCACCTAAGGAGCCTAATTAGCAGATATTTAGCACCATATATTGATATTTCGTAGGTCATGAAATGGGGTGCTAGGATGCAGCACCTTCATTATTATAAGGTGCTATACCTAATTAATCACGCTATTTTATAACGGGAGCTTAAACCATGCATCCATTTATCGAAGCATGCTTATATAAAGCATGTGGTGCTATATTTTAGCATCTGCTACAGAAAATGCTGCTTATTTTAACACGCGCAGTGGAAGGGTTGCGAGTACTACGCCCAGTGGAAGGGGGGCGGATGCCGCCGCCCCCCCTAAGATCTCAGCTCCCACTGGAGCTAGAAAGACGAAATTTGGAGGGTAGGTGAGGGCCCTGGGGAACTCTCTTGTGTGTGACTTTCATGACCCTAGGTCAATATCTTCAAGGTCAAATGAGGTCAAATGTGGTCAAACCTGCCACATGAACGACTTTTTTGCGTTTACACGCCGATAACTCAAAAAGTTACCGGCCGATTTTCTTTTTTCTTTCACCGTACGAAAGAATATACATTTTTGAGTATGTATGATGAATTTCTAGTTATCCAACAATAAATATGGCAGCTAGAAGCCTGCTAAGGGTAAGATGTCGCCGGCTAAAGCGGGATCGGCCGACGCGGGAAACGCGGCAATCACAATTTTGTGTTGACACACTCATAAGTCATAACTCAAGTTGTTACCGGCCGATTTTCAAAATTATTTGACCATGAGATTGCCTGTACATTTCTTAGGCTTCTCACACAATTTGACGCGAATCGCATATAATCAGCGGTAAGGAGCGCGATGTAAAGACGGAACCGTCCCGCCCTGGCACAGTCTACAATTCAGGCGGCGCGTAACGGCTAGCGCCGGCCGCCGCGCCGCCGCGCCGCCGCGGCGGCAGGATGTTTGACTTTACACCGCTATTACAAGAAAAGTTGTGACCCGATTTTCTTATTTCTTGCACGAGAAGATCCGCAGTTCAATTCTGGATAGGTAGCCAAAATTTCACGTTAATATCATGTTTGCGGCGTGAGTTATTGGCGAAAAACAGGAGGGGTGGGCGGAATCCGCCCCCCCCCCTTCCACTGCGCGTGTTAAGCATCATTTTTTAGCATCTGAATAGCACCCTAGTAGCACCGGTTTAAAGGGAGCTTAACTTGTTGACAGTGTAGGGTGACGCCCGTGCCCGCTCCGTTCCAGCCGCCCATCGTTCCCAAGGTGGCGTACGACGGCGACACGCGCAACTTTGACGACTATCCGGAGACCGACTGGCAAAAGGCGCCGGCGGCCAGTGAGAAGGACATGCGCCACTTCATCGACTTTTAGCCGCTCTCCGGCGCGCTGTGTGCCCGCGGAGCCGGTCCGTCCGTCCGCGGTGGGTGGAGGCTCGGCCGTCCGGCCGTCCGTCCGTCCGCGGTGGGTGGAGGGGGCCGTCCGTCCGTCCGCGGTGGGGGGAGGCTCGGCCGTCCGTCCGTCGTGCACAGAACTGTCGGCGAGGTGCCGGTCTGTCGGCTCGACCGTCAGACCAGTCCAGTGGGCCCGGCTGCCGCGCCCGCCGGCCCCGACTCCGGCGTGGACCGCTCGGCCGCCCGCGCGCCCCAGTGCTGACCGGCCGCCAGTCGGCGCGGGCCGCGTCACGTGCTTCCTTGTGAGCAGGCCGGGCTGAAAGGAGTCAGTCTCTCCAGCCTGTTCAGTGTGGGGATGGGGTGGGGTGTTTAGGAGGGGGGGGGGGGTGATCAGATGGCAATAGGAGTTGGATGTTTATTTGTGGTGCAGAATTTTAATGAGTGCCGTGGCCTTGTGTTTGATATTTGTAAGCCGCGTTTGCAGTGCTATCGCCAGTGACAGGACTTGTTCTATAACGTGCTCACCATTTGCATACGGTATTGCAGACAGGCGCACACAACAAACAATAGCTGCACATGGCTGTGTTTTCCTTTGACGCGCTGTGACGGTAAAGACAGCCGCCGCGCTGGTGACGATTCATCGTGAAGGAGTACCGGCGCTGGTCAGGCGGCCGCCGGCGCCCGACCAGTGCAGTGGGGCAGCGGTGTGTACTGTGTACGCTCTCAGAATAGCGGCGCCGGCCGACTCGGCTCACAGCGTGCACCTGAGCGCGTGCCGGCCGTGCTTGCTGGGCGGCACGACCCGGCTGGCCGCCCACGGCCTAAACGGCAACCGAGTGCCGGATGTCTGCACCGGAATCTAAGTAGGTACCAGCCAACTGGCGGGGTCGCGACCCACCTGCTGATGGGTTCGACCCACCTATCGGCCGCACCCCACCGGCTGACGGGTGGGATCCTATACCCACAGGTCATCCGACCCATATCGGGGAAGCGGAGAGAAGCCCGCGCCACCGTAAGTCTTTTTCGTAGGTAGCTAGCCAAGACCAAATGACTTAACATAGGGGAAGACGGGGAAACGCCGCCCATCGGGTAATACCGCCCTCCCTATTATTTCGTAAAACATCCTCGCTGATCACATTACTGTGTAATTAATTGGTGACATGGCCGAGTGCAATCGGCTGTGCAAGGTGACGTTGATAATTTTGCGTGTCATTTCCATGGTTTTGCACAATTTTGCTGGCAAATGGCTTCCATGTCACTTTCTTTATTCACTATATTTAGTTTTACTGGCATTAAAGAGGTCCAAATATAAAACCACACTCTCAAAAGTCAAAGCCATTCATCCAGACAAGCAGGCTATTAATGCCAGGAGTAGCCAGTAACAGTTGGTAGCATAAGGCCAAATGGGCGCTCAAAAACTACTACCCCATAGGGTTTCCATGTTACATCGATTTTTTTCAAGCGAGCCTCACACGTAAGCTAAAAGATAAAGTGCCAATGTTATTGTGGGGAAAGTAGCCTCAAGCTTCCTCTACAACCTTATTATCCAGCGTTTTTCGATGCGGAGGCCATAACAGGTCCAAAAAGCACTGGGCGCTGCCCGAGGTACCAAAAGCCCCTCCATGAGAGTTCAAGTTTCTGCGCATGCGCACATTGCCTCAACCCTGTACCTACTGGCGTAAATTTGTGATACTGCTCACGGACTCTATCAGCAAATGAGCGTCCCCCATTACATTGATAGATGTCGTTAGCATCACGTAAATCCTGCTTGCGAACACATTTTAAGAATGAAACAGCTGCGCGATTTCTGCCTTCCATTGATTCCTTCCATCTTAGTATCAACTATACGCTTTTTCAACCAACTTTAGACTAAGTTTTAAACTATGGTTAGTATGTTATTTCTGGTACATATAATTTAAAAGTAACTGCTTTATGAATTTGGTTTTACTCGTCAGAATAGAATACTCTTATTTTTTCCTCAAAAAAATATATCACCTACCATTTAACTCATCCAGGTAAATGGGCGCCTTCCGCGTCGTTGGTGTACCCGTTGTTCTATATACCGTAAACGGGGGTGACTGCCTTGCTGGGTGACTTTGCCATGCTTCTAAAAAAATGCTTTAGGGTGATCTCCAGTGATATTTTACGAAGAATGTAATAATTTTTTATGCACAAATGAAAATTGGTAATTAATAGATAATAGATTTTTGTGAGTATGTTATTTCCTTCTGGCCTTAATTAGGTAACCACACTTCTATGATAAACGTATGATACTTCTGAGCTAAGACCTACCTGTAGCCACTACTTAATGTTCAGATATATGTGAAACTTTTTCAAAAGTTATGTTGATATGTATGATAAGTGATATCATATGGACATCAGCTGTGACATCATTTGGACTCCCTGCTGGATATCTTCATTCCATGATCATAACTGCTATGATTCACTTACGTGAGATTTGATTCTCACAATGGCTCTGGTGGATGACGGAGAAAATGGCTGACCCTTATTATCATGCTCACATGCTGTTGCATCATTAGGTGCCTTGTGAGTGCAGTGCAAAGACTGTGTAGTGCATATTTTGCATTTGCATGGTGTGCCTCCCTGGTGCCTCTAAAGGAAGCAAGGTGATTGGTGGTATGATGTGAATAGTGTGAATGATGAACCAGTGCTTTGGCACCAGGACCAGCAATGGATTCCTTTTTTTAACCTTGCATGGATGGATGGATGAGCACCTCGGTGCCTAGCCTTCATGGCTGTTTTACCAAGTTTTAATCTGAATGGAGTGTCTGAGCACTGCAGTGAACTGAGGAATGAATGAGCACTGCAGTGCCTGGCTTGGCAGATAAGTCATTTTATCCTTTTAAACAGTATGGGATATGCATGAGGCCGTGCGCCCAGGCCAGGCAGAATGGTCTTTTTATGAATGCTGTGATGAAGAATGCATGTATGACCGTGCCAAGAACCTATTAATAAGACCCTGCTGGATGAAACAGCTCAGTGGCCTACTTATAAATGGGTCAAGCTGAGATGATATGATGAGTTGGCCAAGAAGCATCCTTGTCATACATCAGAGCTAAATTACCTTAGTGTAAATTACTTTAGTGTATTTCACTATATGTGACTGGAATGTTGACCTCCTGCTGTTTGACTGACTTCTGTGAGCAGCTGAGCATGTGCTCCATTTCTACTGAATATAAACTACAGGCTATGCACAGGGCATACCCTCTTATAAAGTACATACCTATCTATGTTGTTAAAACATACTGAGGCTGTAACTTCAAATCAAGGTGCTCTCTTTTGGTCTTATGAGATAGTTTTTTTCTATCACATATTAACTGTTCTGAACATACTAACACTCACTTTGCTTAACTCTATGCATACATCTTATTCCAACCGTATGTCTGTTACGTATGTGATGGCCCTAGTCCCTCACTGTTTTGCTTCAAATCACACTATCCTCCAGCCAGCCCGGGGGTCCTGACGTGGATATTGTTCTTATATCGTGTTCATCTCACCATGATATGTTTCATATTGGCCTTGCCCTGTCTCGGTTGGGCTCGCGAGGCAGATCCTGAGGTTGCCGGCTGGATGGCCTCGTGCTGCTTGCCCGGGGGGGGGGGGGGGTCGGCTGCCGGCCCGTGGGGTCGGGGTGGCTGCCCCTTTCGGCTGCTGCCCCTCGGTCTCTCTCTGGTCGGGGGTGCGGTTCTTGCGCCTCCCCGGGTGGGCGGCGGCGGGATTGTCTAGTTGGCGGTTGTGCGCGGCTGCTGGGTCGTGGTCGCTCCCAGGTCTGGGGTCTTTCCTTTCTGGTGCGTTGGCCCTGTCCGGCGTGGGGCCCGCTGGCCCGTTTTGTGGTCGGCGGCGCCTTCGTGGTGCTGGCGCGCTGCGTGGGTGCCCCCGGCCGTGGTCGGCCCCGGGGGGCTTCGCGCCGGGTGGGGTTCGCGCGCCCGGGGGTGTTGGCGTCCGGGCCGGGGGCGGCCGCGGTGCCGCCGCTGCGCGCGATGGCTGTTGACCGGGCCAATGCCGGGCGGTGCGCGGGCCGGCTCATGTCCACACGGCGGTCGCCAGGTGGCGCAGCGAGACGCCTACAGAGGTCGGTAGTATAGCTTTTACATAATCGGATTGTGCCTTTATTGTCACTGGCATGTCGTCTTCTGTCTCGCTGCGCCTGGCACTCAAATTATAGCTTAATTAATTGTGTCCTGCATATAACTTATGCAAATTCGTTAGGTATTGATTTACATTACTTAAAATGTACGCTACTAATAAACTAATAATCATGTACTAAGATTTATATCATATAGTGATATAGCAATAGCATATTTGTGCTAGTATGCTGATATCTACTCTACCTACTCATCCCAAACACAAAAGATAGCTTGTCAAGTTTTTTTTTCTCTAGTTACTCTGGTGTAAACTAAACTTAGTGTTGTATGCCACTAACTAGAATCAATGATAATAAACTGTCATTGCTATACGAAAAGATATTCCATCCATTTCAAGACACAGATACTATTCATGATCATGCTATTAGTAATGAATTTGAATTCATACGAAATAGCTGTAAATATTACACTGTTACAACAAACACCAACTCAACCTTTTCTCAGAACTCTGAGAAACTTTCTATTCTACACCTCAATGCTCGTTCTCTTTTAAGTACTGAGAAGTATGAAGCCCTGAATGTTTTTCTGCACTCAACTAGTATACAGTGGGACGTGATCTGTGTATCCGAAACATGGTTACACAGTGATATTGATAAATATCGAAACATACCTAACTATACAGCATTCTTTCAAAATCGCATAGGTCGCACAGGAGGTGGCGCTGCTGTATACGTACGTACGGCTAGTGTAGTTTCTGCCACACGTCTCTCCATTGACTGTCCCATTGGTACAGAATCAATCATTCTGCAGTGTTGTTTACCTTGTTCCAAGGTAGTTATTGCGCAGTTTTACAGACCCCCTGATACCTGCCCAGCTCTTTTCTGTGAGCAGATGTCGACTGTATTTGACTCCCTGGATACATCTTCCAGCACAGTGATCGTCACTGGTGATTTTAACTTTGACCTTTGTGCGCTAGGAAATGATCATGGTGCGGAGATATTCTTTAACATGATGCTGTCCTTTGGCTTTCTTCCCCTGATATCACTTCCCACTAGACAAAGCGAAACAAGGCTATCTTTGCTAGATAATATATATTGTAACAATATATCACTGGCCAAGGATACAGGAGTAATTTACGATGACTTATCTGACCACTTCCCAATATATGTTGTCTTAAAAACATATAAACAAAGAAATATGAGGCCGAAGAAACAAATCACATCATTTAACTACAATAAAATCACTGATCTGCAAATGCATTTGCAGAACGATTTACAAAACCTCACTAATGTAACTGATCCTAACTTAGCTTATGAAAAAATAATTCGATCTTATTCTGTTGGAATACAAAAGTTTAGCAAAACGTTTATACCATCGCGAAAAAACACACCAATTAAACCCTGGATCACGCCTGGCATCTTGGCCTCGATATCCAGAAAAAATGAACTATTTCTGTTAAAAAATAAAGA